AAGACCACAGCCTTCAGTATGGATTACACCTCAACATAAAGAAAACAAAAATCCTCACAACTGGACCAATAAGCAACATCATGGTAAACAGAGAGAAGCTTGAAGTTGTCAAGGATTTCATTTTACTTGGATCCACAATCAATACCCATGGAAGCAGCATTCAAGAAATCAAAAGACGCGTTGCATTGGGCAAATCTGCTCCAAAAGACCTCTTTAAAGTGTTGGAAAGCAAAGATGTTACCTTGAAGACTAAGGTGTGCCTGACCCAAGCCACGTTGTTTTCAATCACCTCCTATGCATGAAAAAGCTGGATAATGAATAAGGAAGACCAAAGAAGAACTGATGCCTTTGAATTGTGGTGTTGGTGAAGAACATTGAATATACCATGGACTGCCAGAAGAACGAACAAATCTGTCTTGGAAGAAGTACACCAGAGTGCTCCTTAGAAGCAAGGATGGCCAGACTATGTCTCACATACTTTGGACGTGTTATCAGGAGGGACCAGTCCCTGGAGAAGGATATCATGCTTGGTAACGTAGAGGGTCAGCGAAAAAGAGGAAGACCCTCAACCAGATGGATTGACACAGTGGCTGCAACAGTGGGCTCAAGCATAACAATGACTGTGAGCATGGCTCAGGTCCGGGCCGTGTTTCGTTCTTTTGTACATGGGGTCGTTGTGAGTCAGAACGGACTCGGCGGCACCTGACGACAACATGATGTTCCACGTCTTTACTTTGCAACATGACAGTTCATCCCAGTGTTTGCCCTGTGCTTTCCTCTCTTTGTTATCTTTACTGGAGCTGAAATTACAAGTGTATTTAAGACTTCAGCTTTCTCTGAAACTAGCCCCAAAATCATCACGAGCTCTGAAGTGAACGAAAGGAAAATGTTAAATTATTTACAGACATCAGCTCTGGAGAGTAACCTGATGCCTGCCTTCCCCATGCTCAGGGTGACTGGGCCAGTGCTGGGCTCTGCTCTGGATCCAGAATGTGCTGGAGGGGATGTGGCCGGAGGGTAGGGTGTGGCTGGAAGGAGGGGTGTGGCCGGAGAGAGAGGTGTGGATGGAAGGAGGGGGTGTGGCTGGAGGGAGGGGTATGGATGGAAGGAGGGGGTGTGGCTGGAGGAGGGGTGTGGGTGGAAGGAAAGGGTGTGGCCAGAGGCAGGGGTGTGGACCGAGGGAGGGGTGGTGCTAGAGAGGGGTCCAGGCTGGGCTCTAGCGCACCTCCTCCTCTGCTGTGCTAGGATCCTGCCATCACTTAGCCCCGCTGTGCCTCAGTCTCCTTATCTGTAAGATGGGGTTCGCCGTGGTCGCATGCTTGTGGGTTTGCTGGGGTCAGCACCCACACCCAGGAGTGGCACCTCTTCACTTCCCGGTCCTCCCTGGGGCAAAGCTGTGAGCACAGGGTGCTGGTGGTTGTGGAGAGTTCTGTGGACTGGGCTGCTGTGGACGTGGCTCTTCCTTGGACACGCTCCTGACCGTGGTGACTTGTGTGGTCCGCCTGCAGCCCGGATGCCATGAGTGAGGTCAGCCCATTAGCTGTCGTGCGTTGGCTCCCTCAGCCAGCCCCTCCCGCTGCTGCTCCAGGCTCTGGCTGGGCTCAGGGCTGCAGCATCCCAGGCCCCGGCCCTCCTGGAGGCACTCACAGCACCCTCCCGCCAGGCATTTGATCACTTTTATTACTGTCTCACCCGACAGGGACTTCAAAATGCCCACTACAAGTTCACATTTCTTTTTTTGGTAGGACCAGGGCTCGTGCTGTAGCAAAGGAGACAGGACCTGGGCCCAGAGACAGGAACTCTAGTTCTGTAGCTCACAGCGCTTCGCTTGATCTTGTTGTTGGCGGGTGCCGTCGAGTCGGTTCTGACCCAGAGTGACCCCGTGTACCACAGAACGAAGCACGGCCCGCTCCCGCGCCATCCTCACGATCATTGTTATGCTTGAGCCCATTGTTGCAGCCACTGGGTCAATCCATTCGTTTAGGGTCTTCCTCTTTTTCACTGACCCTCCACTTTACCGAGCATGATGTCCTTCTCCAGGGGCTGGTCCCTCCTGACAACATGTCCAAAGTTCATGAGACGTAGTCTCATCATCCTCACTTCTAAGGGGCATTCTGGTTGTACTTCTTCCAAGACAGATATTTAGACCTGCCCTGATGTCATCTGCTTTTGCTTCTTGGTTTATAAAATGAGAAGAGTTGCTTTCCATGTCCAGCTCATAAAAGTGTTTGAGGATCATGGAGGTGGCTTTTTTTTTTTTTTAGGTAAGCCAGTCTCTAGATTGGAGCCCCTGGGTGGTGCAAATGGTTAACAGACTTGGCTGCTAACCGAAAGGTTGGAGGACAAGGCTACCCAGAGGTCCCTAGGAAGAAAGTCCTGGTTATCTACTTCTGAAACATCAATCACTGAAAACCCTGTGGAGCACAGTCCCACCCTGTTACACATGGGGTCGCCATGAGTCGGAGTCGGCTGGACGTCAGCTTGTTTTTATTATCTAGGTCACAAGCAATGCTGACAGTCTTATGCCAGCTTCAGTTAATTGTTAACAGAATTTTTGTGCGTACTTAAAAACCTTAAATTTCTTGATTAAAGGGTTTCCAGTTCTCACCAAATGGTGTTCTTCTCCCCCTGGGTCTCAAACTGGTGGCAGTGCCGTCAGCACCAGTCACTCAGGTGCCTGACAGAGATGGCCCTGCCCACTCCGGTTCTTTGGGCGCCTGAGGTCCAGACAGGCCAGTCAGCGGGCAGGAATCCTGAGTTAGTCCACAGCAGGCGTCCATGCCCAGACCCTGGGGCACTTGGTCAGCACCTCTCGGGTAGCCTGGGGCCGTGGTGCTGGGTACATGGGGCCACCTGGTGTGCGGCTGCACCAAGCCTGGGGAGGGGCTAGCTGTTGGGGCTGCATCATGTGCAGATGCTCTGGAACAATCTGAGTGAGCTACTAACCGCCGTCTCTGACTTCAGAGTGGCGAGAAGGAGCTCCTGGACCTCGGCGCCCCCATCTCCAGTCTGGACGGGCAGCGGGTCGTCTTGGAGGAGAAGGACCCCTCCAGGAGCAAAGGTGAGTGAGGCCTTCCTTCCGGCGTGCTCGGGCTCTGTCTCCGCCTCATGAAGAGCCACAGCCCTGCCGCCCCGTCCTTGGCCTTCCTAGGGCGGAGCCTGGTGTCTGTGACCAAGACGGCAGCCTGCTAGGCCGAGGGCGCCTTACCTCCTGGGGCAAACCTCATCCCTGTCAGTACTTGGTCACAGAGCCGGCAGAGCTCAGGCACACAGGCCTGGGTCTTCCCAGCAGTCTCATACCCAGGACCAAAGATGGGCCGTTTTGGGCTGGGGCCTGTGACCACATCACAGGGCAGTCTGGCCTTTATTGCAGTATTTCTCAAACTAGGTGTCCAAGGGGCTTAGACTAGTCAGCCCTGATGGGCACAGGACACTCCCAGGATGAGGGGAACAAAAGCCACGCTCCCCAAGGATGTGACCTAGGGCCAGAAAGTCTCTCAACCTCCCTGAATGTGTCTTCTCAGCTGTAAAAGGGGTGACAGTCCCTGCTGAGCCCAGTCCCCAGAGTGCTTTGAGGTGCTAATGTGCTCACATGTGGGAGCAATTTCACTACACATGTGAGGACAAATTCACTACACACACGAGGGCATGTTCACCACACACGTATGAAGGTGTGTTCACTACACACACGAGGGCATGTTCACTGCACACATATGAAGATGTGTTCACTACACAGATGAGGCCATGTTCACTGCACACATATGAAGGTGTGTTCACCATACGAATGAGGGTATGTTCACCACGTGGGTGAGGGCGTGTTCAGCACATGTGTGAAGGTATTTCACCAAACAAATGAGGGTGGGTTTACCACACAGGTGATAGCCTCGTACACCACACAAAGTGAGGGCATGTTCAGCATGCGTGTGAAGGTACTTTCACCACCATGAATGAGGGTGTGTCTGTCACACAAGTGAGAGCATGTTCTCCACACAAATGTGAGGGCATGTTCAGCACACGTGTGAAAGTACTTTCACCACACGTGTCAGGGCACATTCACCACGAGTGAGGGCACGTTCACCACACGCAGGTAGGTACTTTCACCATGTGTGTGAGGGCGTGTTCAGCACACACATAAGGGAGCATTCATCACACAGGTGAGGGCACATTCACCACACACGCATGAGGGCTCATACATCATACATGTGAGGGCATGTTCACACATGCGTGAAGGTACGTTCACCACACGTGTGAGGGCACATTCACCACACACGTGTGAGGAAACGTTCACCACGTGCGTGAGGGCTCTTTCACTGGAAAGCCTCGTGGTTACTCTATAAAAGGGAAACAGAGCCCTGAAGGCATGGTGGCCTGGCCTGGGCCCCTGGGCCCCATCTGTCCCCTTCCCTGCGCACGAAACAGGACGCGAGGAGAGGGCTGGCGTGGTGCGTGCCCAGGGCCTTAGCCTGTGTTATGGTTACTCGTGTGCGATGACTCAGCCGCTTTACGGAGCTCTTTCCCGTGCACGGCTCGATGGCAACGCCAGGAGTCGTTGCCTTGGGTCAGACAGCTATGAGGAGCTGGGACTCGGGGACTCAGGACCCCACACCTGCCCTGACATGACAGACACACAGACACGACATGGGGAGCCTATGTTCCTCTGAAGAGTGCTCAGCCCCTCCTTGCCCAAATCTTTGCACTAGAAAAGTCATTTAAACCAAGGTGAGGGTTCCTATTTGTTGTGCCCACCACCAAGGACAGACAGAGGTGGCCCAGAGATGGTCCAGGTGGAGGGACAATGGGAGTGTGTCTCCTGAGACAGCTTTCTGGAAACCCACCTACCGATTACCTGGGTAGAGAAGATCCTGTCGGGAGCCCCTGCAGGCACCTGGGCTGCCACTGCTCCTCTCTGGGCCTCCCCCACGAGGGCTCTGGATGGGTGTTTCTGGGGCTCCTTCGGCTGTGGAATGGAGCCCCATGATATGTGGGGTGGGCCCTTCTCTCTGCCCCCTAGTTCCAGGCACCCTGCTGCCCTCGGAGCTGGGACCCGAGACCCTTCCTGGGCACGGCCTCCTGCCCCTGGGCAGACAGCCAGGCGGGGGTGCCAGCATGTGCGGCCAGGCAGGCTTGGGCGGCAGCTCTGCCAGGCGTGTGGCGAGACCTTCTGGCACATTTGTGCACAGGTGAGTCTTGCGGGAGAGCTTGAGGCCGACTCACTCTTCTTTGTTGAAACAGTGATCCTGTCGTTTCTCTGGCACCATCGGTGCCCGGAGGGGGCGCTGGAGGCCCTGACCTGTAACGAAGGTGCATTTGGGGATGTGTAGGAAACTGAGACTCTGCCTTCCAAAGAACATCCGCGCTATTACACAAAGGAAGCTTTCCAGTCAGCCTCCTTCAAAGCCCCCAGAACCGCATCGCCCTCACCCTTGGCTGCAGCAGACGTCTCTGTGCGGAAGCCAGCTGGTGGAGAGGTTCCTCCAGGTGTAGCCTGACGCTGCGGCCTCTCCGGGTCTGGCGATGAGAGATGCTTAATGTGCTTTGTTCCTCTACAGCTTTGCCTTCAAGACAGTAGGGTACAGTCGGGGTTAAGTGTTTGGATGACTTCGCAACTCACCGCAATGATAACGCTTGTCTCCTTCTGTTCAGTGTCCACAGATAAACAGAAAGGGGCATCAGGCAAACACAGCATAGCTGTAAATTCCAGTTCCAGAAACCACACGGCTACGGTAATTCCCCCTGCCCCCCCGCGGGCTCCCTGCTCCCACGTGGCCCTCATGCTGGCACGCGTCCCATGGGGCTTCCTCTCGGGCTTCAGCTGCTCGTGAATTCTCGGGCTTTCTCCTCTCCTGCAGTGGGGGTGGCTGTGCCTTAACTGTCTCCCCCCGTGGTCTCTGTCACTTCATGGGGTCCTCTGTCAATGCCGTCTGTGTGGACCGCCCTTCTTGTCTGTACCAATGGCCTGTGTGTCGTGTGAAGCGTGAGTGGGACTTTAACTTTCCTTCTGACGCAGGGAGAGCAGAGGACGCTAGGCAAGTCTAACTCTATTAAGATAAAAGGCGAAAATGGAAAACATGCTAGGGATCCCCGGATTTCAAAGAGAGAAGAATCTATTGCAAAGATTGGGAAAAAAAAATATCAGAAAATTAATTTGGACGAAGCAGAGGGTACGTGTGCTTTTTAAACCTTGCACGTTTTGCAGTCAATGCCGTGTCAGCGTTCGAGCGGCCGTTGAGCCGTCTTCCAGCCGCCGAGCATTTGGGCGGCTGCTGTCCCCGCTACACTAAGCATGCCCCCCCACCCACGTGTGCTTGGGCTGTCAGTGTCACTTGGACTTTAGTGAAACCCAGTGTCCACTCGCTCGCTGGCTTCTGAGTCAGGGAGCTGGCACCACGGCCCACGCTGTTTGCATGTGAAGCGCCCGAGGCCTTGGCGGTTAACCTGTGGCCGCCATCCTGTCTCTGGGTCTCTGCCAGTCTCTGGGGTCCCTCCTCTCAGGTCTACCTCCCGACGGCACCCAGAGTCACCCGCTCAGGCCGGGGCACAGGCCTCAGTGTCAGGCGTGCCCAAACGGACCAGGCCTCTCCAAGGACCGGGGGGCAGCTCTGCTGGGGCAGGTGCTGGTCCCCAGCCTGGGAGACGTTGGTCCCTGCGCAGGCCTGCTAGCTGCTGAGCATTCGTCAGAGGCCTGAGGATGGGCACGCGGTGGCCCGAGGCCCACAGTGCCTGCGTGTCCCTTAGGCCTCCAGGGGAAAGGAGAGGGGCACTGAAAAGACAGGGACAGGGGACTTTCTGACCTCAAGCTTCCTTTTTGTCTAAATTCTCATAACAAAGAGAGTGCACTAAAAATGGAATCAAAACCAACAGCTGTGGCTGCACCCCAATTTTTGTCCGGGGAGCACCCTCTAGGCAGCTGGGCTGTCCCTGTCGCTGAGGCCTGGCCCTCCAGATCCGGTAGCCCACACCCTCTCCAGAGGTAAAACACACCCTTCCGGGAGCTGCTGGTGCTGGGGACTGGAGACTTCTTGTGGTTTTGTAAAAGCTAAGGATTAGGTGTAAACGCCAGGGCAAACTCAGTTTAGACACCGCAAGCCTTGAATGGGGAACTTGCGTTGCCGTTGAACATGCAACTCAGGTAAGAGGAAGAAGAACATGCAGTAGCCAGCCAGGAACCATGGTGTGCAGCGGGCAGCTGGGGACGCCTGGGCAGGCCAATGACCAGGGGATGGAAAGGAGGTGGGGCCGGCTGCTCCAGGAATGCGCTGGCCCCTGTTGGAGACGTGTCCCCGACCTCCCCTCTCCTCTCATGAGCCCAGGAGGACCACCCTCTGCTGAGAGATGGGGACCCCAAAAGGCTGGGCCTTCGAGGAGCATGTGGCCAAGCTTCATCCGCATGCTGCTGCCTGTTTCTGGGGCTCCTCCCCCTGGGCTGGTCCCTCCAGCTCGTCCTCGTGGCCTCGGGTTGGGGGCTGCAGGTGCGAGGTCCAGTCAGGCCACCTCTACCCTGTCCTGAGTGGGCAGCCAGGCCTCAGCTGTCACAGGGCGGAGTATACGGCGGCATCTTCCCCAGGTGCTGGCTGCGCGGTCCTGAGCAGAAGGCTGTGCCAGGGCTGTGGGCTTACAGTCAGCCCCCCGCTGCTGGGGTCAGGGCAGCCAGCTGCCCCACACAGAGCCTTCCAGACAGGTGTCCTGAGGGGCTCAGTGTGACGCTAAACGGGGTCCATGTGGGTTTTCTTCCGTAGAGTTTTTTGAGCTCATTTCCAAAGCTCAGAGCAGCCGAGCAGATGACCAGCGCGGGCTGCTGAGAAAGGAGGACCTGGTACTGCCAGAGTTTCTCCGCTTGCCGCCCGGCCCGACAGGACTCACGCTGTCTGCCCCTGCCGCCGCCAAGGGCGTTAGCAAGAGACTCGGGAAGAGCCACAGCCAGGACAGCGCTCTGCCGCCTGGCGAGAGACGGGGGGCCCAGGACCACGGCGAGAGCCCCATGGCCAGCCCCGGCTCGGCCGGCAGCCAGCCTAGGTCCCCGACAGCCACGCTGCCGGGGCAGAAGCCCCCTGCTGGGCCCCTCCCCGGCCCCTGGGCCCCCCGCGCCCCCGCGCAGGAAGGAGCCGCAAAGATCTGGAGGCGGCAGTCAAGGGAGGTGGAGGGCGTGCAGACCCTGGAGGAGGACCCTGTGGCCGACCTGACGCTGGTGGGGGAGGGAGACATCAGCAGCCCCAACAGCACCCTGCTGCCGCCACCGCCCACCCCACTGCCAGATGCGCAGGACACGGCGGGACCTCAGAGACCAGGTACCTCCAGAGTGTGAACCTGATGCCCCAACTTGCCCGCCCACCTGCCACCCCTCTATACTATCCACCCCCCTCCGTACCGTCAACCCCGTGCCCAGCAAAAAAGCAGCAGCTGCGGCCAGCCGGCCGCCCGGACCTCTGCTCGATGGGCATTTTCACGCGGCACCTGTCTCCTCCACGTGTTTCCCGTGGGTTCCCCGAGCCTTCCCTGCATGGGGGCGTCACTGGCCGTGGGTTCCCCGAGCCTTCCCTGCATGGGGGGCGTCACTGGCAGCTGGGTCAGGGTTTGACCAGGATGGTTCCGGAGACCGAAGCCAGGGCAAGGGGGTGCCCGGGGCAGGTGCCTGCTTCCCAGGGTCCTCCTTCCCCTCGGTCGCTCGTGAGCCCATTTGCACGTCTCAGGGACAAGGGGCTCAGAGGCCCTCAGACATGGCGTGGACGGTCCTCTGCAGGGACCCTGCGGTGCAGTGGGTGTGTGGGTGCAGCAGGGTCTGTAGTGGGAACGAGGCCCGTTAGCCACCAACACAGGTGGACATGCGGCTGGGGCAGCATGGGGCAGCGGCCGCCCTGTGATGCTGACCCAGACCCTCTCCGGTGTACGTCTGAGAGCGTGATCGCACATGTCGTTTCTAGCACGCTAGGCGTGTGCGGGCGGCGCTGCTGCTTCTGTGCGCCCAGTGACGTGTGGACCCTGGGGGCCACCACCGCCACCTTGCCTCCACCTCCCCGCCCCGTGCCCGTGGGAGTTCTGCCTCGTGGGTCTTGGGGGGCCTCCCTAGCTGACCTCCGGATGGGCATACGTGCACTTACAGGGTGGGGCGCTCGGATAACTTGTGCTGCAGTGGGGAGGGGGCCGGCACCTTCCCCGGGAGAAGCCCCCGACCTCGGCCTCGCGACCCTGCGTGTCCTGCATGCTCTGCGGATCACAGCCCTGCGGCCCCCTTCTCTGCTCCTGCTCTGTAAATCCCTGTGTACAGCTGTCCCTGTGTCTCGAGTCTGTTTTTCCAGAATAATAAACTCCAGAGCTTGCCACTGGACTGCCTGAAAGCTCTTCTTTCTCCCTTCACATTGGGACACTGGGTGTAGCGTATCCAGGAACAAGTACATGTTCTTAGGGAAGTAGAAAGAACATTCTGGATTCAGTCCATGGCCTGGCCCACAGGAGTTCTTGAGCTCCATCCCCGCCAGGCACAGTAAGAGGACGTGAGGATATGGACACTTTGTGGGGTGGGGGTGGGGGACGGGGTTTGAGAAGAGCAGCTCAGCTGGGGACGAGCTGACCTTTGGGGCTGGGCAGGAGGGAGAGACAGTACACTGCTTCTGTACACGGTCCCCTCGAAGCTTCAGCCACTGTACCTGAGACCCACTGCTCCTTTCCACGGCCAGGCCTGGGCCACTTCCCCCCTCCTCTGTCTGCCATCCACCTGGCTGTCAGCCCTCCTGATGCTTCCAGGGGAGGAGGGAGTGGGTGGCGTGGTGGAGTGAAGGATGGCATGTCCCCAGACACCAGGTGACAGGCTGGCAGGCTGTGCGGGTCACAAAGTAGCCTTGCTCAGCTCCCAGCCCCTCGGGGTCCCTCTGCGCACGTGGGCACGTTGGCCCGGACCCTGGCGTTCGCCGGCGTTTCCGCTCCATGAGGCTGGTCAGGCACCCCGTCCCGGGCTTGTGCCCTGTGGACGAGTCAGTGCCTCTGCTCTGCTGTCCCCAGCGCGTCCAGGGTGGGGGCAGTGGTACAGCTTCAGCGATGGTCTGGACGTGGGGGGCGGGTCTCCCTGCACCGCTGAGGTGGTGGTGGGGGAGTAGGGGCTGACCCTCGGCTCTCCGGTGCCTCCTGGGAAGAGATGGTCGGAGGAGAAGGGGTTGTGATCTTTTTTCTTACCCATTTCAACATTACTGTGACCATTTCTTAATGACATGGTGGCCACTGTGAACCCCCTCTCCAGCATAAGAAACACAGCGTGGGGTGCACTGGACGCCCACCCAATGGCCATGGACCAGGCGGGTATGGGGAGTTGCTGGGAGTGTGCCCCGAAACAGGGAGGGCATCCCTCCAAGAGCCAGCCGTCACCCCTGCCCTGGGCGCCCTGCTGCCAGGCACGCCTTCCCAGCGTGGGCCCGTGAGCCGGGTGGTCAGGGGGGCCTTCGGGGGGAGGCGGCAGTGTGGGCACCGAGCGTTAGATGAAGGAAGATGGGGATAGAGCAGGTAAGAGGGGGAGGGGCGTCTGAGGACTTGGGGGGGCGGGCAGTGGACGACTGTGGGGAATGAGGGGCTGCAGGGTGGGGGCAGTGGGAGGAGACGGGCGCAGTGAAGCAGGGAGGAGAGCCCGGGGAGGAGAGCCCGGTGCCAGAAGAGAGAGGGAAGAGCCTCCTGTGTGGGTGAAGTCGGGGCACAGGTTTCGGACAGTCTAGAAGAGGGGAGCCAGGCGGGTTCCTGACAGGGCTGTCCCCTGCTCTCAAGAGTGGGGCAGTGGAAGCTCACCCCAAATGGCAGTTCTGGGACGGCCCCCTCCAGCCTGGTCAGCACCTCCTCCACACATCCCCACCTCCAGGCTTCCCACGACGCCTTCTGCAAGCAGACATGATAGGGACCCGTGATGGGGGTGGGGCTGCCTGGCTCCCTGGGGACATGGACTCCGAGAGCAGCTCAGCCACCAGAGTCTCCTTGTCCACGCAAGCTTCTGAGGGGCCACCGGGTGGGAGGGCTTCACCGGGAGGTGGCAGGGGCAGCCTCAAAGGCCATGTGGGACCCGCCTCGCAGAGGGTTAGGGCGTGGGGCAGAGCTTGAGATAATGGGGCAGGAAGGCTCTTGGGAGCAGCAGGGGCAGGGCGGTGCCCAGCCGTGAGCACAGGGAAGGCTCAGCGGGCAGGCGGGCGGGCGGGTCAGAGCTGGAGGGGAGGGAAGGGGAGGGCCAGCCCAGGGCCAGGGGCAGAGTGGGCAGCTGGCGGGCAGCCTCCCATCCAAGCATCAGGGACATCGGAGAGACGCAGGACAGGGGTGCCGGAATAATGCCAGGGCTGACACCTAGGGTGTGGCGGGTCCAGGGGCCCAGGCCCTGCTGTGACCCCTCGAGCTCCCTGTGGCACCATCCCCTGGAGGAGGCCCATGGGCAGCTGTCCTGGGCAGGCCCTGGCACGAGGCTGGCAGGTGGTGGGCACTGAGTCAGAGCCTGGGGTGCCACTGAGTCAGGGGAGCCGGTCCAGGCTCAGCAGACAGGAAGGGCCAGGGTGCGGCCACCCTCCCAAGACAGGCGGGTGCGGCCTGGGCCTGCAGGGTGCTGTCCCCGTTCCCAGGAATGGGCCCCTGGGCTGTGAGAGGCCCATCTTCTCTGCCCACCATGTGGGCCAGAGGAGAGTGGGTGCTGGAGCCCTCCCAGAGTTGGCTGCCCAGATGGCTTGGGGCCTCGGAGACTTTTGCTGAGCCCCTGAAGGCCTGGCTGAGAGAAGCTTCTAGTCACAGAGTTCAGTGGGCATCCGGAGCACCTGAATCCCTCTCCTGTTGCTCAGCCCTTTATGCCTGCGCAGATTCGCCTGCGGCTTGGGGAGCCCCGGTCTGACTGGGAGACCCACAGATGGCACCCTGGTGTCCCCGGGTCCTGCCCCTTGTCTGCCCAAGGACAGGGACCATGTGGCTGGCTGGCACCCGAAGCTGCTTCCTGAGGCTGGAGGAGGGGGGCAGGGGGAGGTGGGCGGCCCCAGGCCCACATCACGTGGGTGGGTCCACGGGCGTTGGTTGGGTGGGAACCTTGAGGGCCACAGAGTGGCTGGGAGGCACAGGCTTCTCGCCCTCACTTTCTTGGTTTGCTCTCGGCCTTGGGACAATACAGGGAGCAGGGGCTTCACACCCTGGAGGCCTCCTTGCCACAGCTGGGAAACAGACCCAGGGAGGGGCAGGCCTGGGAGCGGGACCCGTGGCCCTGGATCAGGGCTCCCCCAGCCCTCCCAGCCTCCCGAGATGCCCCCAAGGAGAAGGGCTAGGTGCTCACCTACGAATACTGAGGGCTGCCTCTGACTGCGGCCCCCGACCGCCGCCCCACACCTCAGCTCCTGACCGCCGCCCTGCGCCTCAGCCAGCCCGGGCCTTCCATCAAGTCCTGCCTGGGGAGGGCACCGAGGCAGACCCCAGACCCCGCCTTCTGGCACACCTAATGTGCACCTGGCCTGGCCAGCTGTGGGGACTCCCAGATGGGACACACAGTCTGTCTGCCTGGGGGCCTCCCCACCCCAGAGTCTAGCAGATCTGACAGCAGTTTGGGGGAAGTCCAAGAACTCCTGGGGGGCTTGGAGCCTGGAAGAGTGCACCGGGGACAGTGCTATGGGCTGTTGAAGGGGAAGGCGGGGCCGACAGTGGGGGCAGCAGGGTTGGGTGAAGGGAAGGGGCCTGTGGCCTGCGGTGTTGGCGGCGGTGGGGATGGGTTGAGGGGGCACCCAGGGCTGTGGGAGGGGTCAGCGCAGCACAGGGGGCCCCTGAGTTTGGTGTGGACGCGCCATGGGTGGATGAAGGGGGGTCTGAAGCATCTGGGCAGGTGGATGACAGGAGGGTTCAGGGGTGGATGGCGGGACGCCAGGCAAGTGGAGCAGCCAGGCCACCAGGTGACGGGAGCCTCAGCAAGTCTGGGGGGGCCTTGCCAGCCTGGACCCCTGGGTGGCCTGGCTGAGGGCCTCACCACAGCAACCTCCCCAGGATGGCCCCCCTCCACCTGCACTGGGCCCTGGGCTTGAGGGGGAGCCCTGCGGAGAGCGCCCCCTGGAGGGCACCGAGGCGGAGTGAGTGGCCAGGACGGGGTGATGGGGACCCAGCAGGGTGCTCAGCCCTGTCCCTATGCCACTTATCCCTGCGTTGGGGACGGGGGGTCTGAGAGCACAGGGAGTGTTGGACCCCCAACCTTGCCCTCCGCCAGTGTCAACTGTGTCCCCACGCGCATCTATCCCTCCGCTGTCATCCTGGAGTTCTGTCCCCACCCCCATTTCCTCAGCCATCCAGACCCCTGCCCAGCGCCCTCTTGGGCCAGGCCCTGAGCAGATGGAGGGGCCCAGATGGGGTGCTGTGGTTCTCGCTGGGGCAACACCGACCCCACACCAGGTGCACCCCACCCCCACACTCTGAGACCTGGTCGAGGGAACAGCTCAGGGTGACTGGGGAGGGGGAGCCCAGTAGGTCTGGGAAGGCTGCCTGGAGGAGGAGGCCCCACCTGGGAGGATGGGGAGGAGGCTTGGAGACAGGCATTCCAGGCAGAAGGGACCGGGAATGGCATGGCCAGACCTGGGATGAGAAAGTGGAGCCAGGAGCCTTCTTGCTGCACTGGGGGTTGGGGGGCTCAGAGTGGGGGGGGGCGGGACCGGCGCAGAGCAGATCAGGACCAGGCACAGCGGGGAGGTGGACTGCAGCCTGGTGTCCCCACCACAGCCAAGGGACCCAAGGGCAAGGACTCCCTAGGGCCCTACGGAACAGAGCCTGACCCTGGTCCAGCCACTGTCCTGCTTCCCGCTCCCCCACACACACCCTGAGTTCTGTCCAGGCCCCGAGTCCACCCAGCCTGTGTCAGGGGCCCCGAGGTGCCTTTGCAGTAAACAAGCAGCTCCCCGGAAAGTCTGCAGCCAGGCCTGGGGGAACATGTGTAGACAGTTCTGTTAACGGCAAGACCGCCCTGGTGCTCCTGTCCCCAGGCCAAGAGGCCCGCGGGGGGAAGGCGGGGGGGGGGGGCGCCCTGCAGCCTGAGGGCCCGGGACAGCGCTGACAGCTCTCCCCTCTCTTGACAGGAGGCGGGGCCCACAGCAGCAGAGGCCTCCCAGTCAAGCGGGTCATCGACGTGGACCGTGTCACCAGCCCGGCACCCACACTTGACAGCAGTGTCCTGGGGGTACAGACGGGCTCTGGGCGATCGTGGGCCAGCGGAGCCCTGGTGTCAGAACCCCCTAGTCTGGCCCCTGCCCTAAGGGAGCCTACCAAGGCCACGGCCGCCCAGCACCATGCCACCTTCGTCTGAGGCCAGCCTTCCCTGGCCCTGCGGCTGAGCTCTCGTGGACATGCATGTTGAAGCCCCTGAGGGATGTGTCCCCGAGAGCCTCGGAGGGGCCATCTCTGCTGACACCCCACCAGGAACCCAACCAGGGGAGGGCAGAGGGGACCAGCCTGGACTCGTGCCTCGGCCTCCAGCCCTCGCTCAATAAAGCATTTTGGGGACCCACCAAGCGTCGGGCCTTGGTTGGGGGAGCTAGGGACACAGACGCTGAGCACCCCACAGAAGTGCTCCCAGGGGTGGAGGTGCCTGGGAGCAGGTGGGCTCTCAATGACAAGGACCAGGGTGATGTGGCTGGGTGGCTCTAGGGGTATAAGGGTCGAACTTGCCCACCGCACGGAATCCCTCCCCAGGCTGGTGCGCGTAGTGGGGAAACGTGCCCACGCCCGGCCACCTGGCCTCCCCTTCCTCCGCCCCCACAGGTAGACACAGGGTCTTTTGGAGTCTGCCCCCCTCTACAGAGTCGAAGCGGGGATCCAGAGAGGGGGCTGGACCTCAGGGGGCGGACATCCGGGGACAGGGCTGGACCTTGGGGGGCGGGCATCCAGGGACAGGGCTGGACCTTGGGGGGCGGGCATCCAGGGACAGGGCTGGACCTTGGGGGGCGGGCATCCAGGGACAGGGCTGGACCTGGGCGGGGGGCGGGGATCCAGGGACCAGGGCTGGACCTTGGGGGTGGGCAGCCAGGGACGGGGCTGGACCTGGGTGGGGGGTGGACATCCAGGAACGGGGCTGGACCTCATTGGGGGGCGGGGATCCAGGGACCAGGGCTGGACCTTGGGGGTGGGCAGCCAGGGACGGGGCTGGACCTGGGTGGGGGGTGGACATCCAGGAACGGGGCTGGACCTCATTGGGGGGGCGGGGATCCAGGGACCAGGGCTGGACCTTGGGGACAGGGTGGGGGTAGGGAGGGGATGAGGAAAATCGGGGGCGGACAGGAACGAGTGACGGAGACAGGGTCAGGGAGGAGTCAGGACGGAACATGAGGCAGAGCACGCACTCGTCTCCCTCCCCCGGGGGGTTGGGTGGGGGCGCACAGCAAGGCCACAGTGGAGGGGCCCCCTCCCCACCCTCAGACGGTGGTGGAGCCGGAACTGCTGATTCCTGGAACCCCGGCGCCTCCGCGGTTGATCAAAAATTGCAGAAGAAGTTCCCGCAGCCGCTCTGCCCACAGCCCCGAGTCACGCATACCCCGCGACCCCAGCTCACGGATGAGGAGCGAGGTTGGAGCCCCCAGTAAGCTGCACACAGACCCAGGCAGGACCTGAGCAGGCCCCCGCGGCCCCTAGCAGGTGTCTGGCGGGGGCTCAGTCTGGAGTGGGGCCAGACCTGGACAGAGCAGGGACAGCACAGGGTCCTCCAGCTGCGATGGGGCTGGAAGGGCTTCCTGGAGGAGGTGTCAGAGCTGTGTCCAGGAGAGGGGGCAGTGGAAGGACCCTCTGAACATCGCAGATACTGTTGGGGGTCCTGGACACCCCAGAATTAAGACAGGCAGAAAGAGGCAGCTCTGAATACCTCACTCCAACCCATGAGGTCCCACCCAGGCTCAGCCCCGGGGAGCAGAGGGTCCTCATCGCGATGACCTCCTTGTGACCCCCCCCAAATCTGTGCAGCAGAGGCAGTAGCAGGACAAGCTGGCCACTCCCACCCTGTGGCCAGGCAGGGACCGAAAGCTGGGGACTGAGGAGCCCAGGCCCCGACCTTCCCTGTCATCCTGGAAGGCTACCTGGAGGAGGCTCCTGAGCTGGTGTCCAGGGACATTGTCGGGGCAAGGCCTCTGGGCAGGAGCAGCAGGTGGGGGGAGTGTCATGGGGCTCCCGCAGCCTGTGGGTCCAGCTGAGAGGCAGCCTGGGGTTAATCATTGCCGGTCGGCCTTGACCCACAGCTGCCCTGGCCGCTCTGTGCTGTGGCCGCTGCCCTTCAGCCAGCTCAGGAGGAGCCATGGGGCGCTGGGTCCCCAGCCACTGCCCCCCGCCTGGGCCGTACCTGCTCCTGCCACTACTGCTGCTGGTGGTGCCTAGCTGGGCCCAGCCACAGGCCGGCGGGGTGAGCTGACCCCTCGCTGAGGAACGACGGGCTGCCTATGCCTGTTAGGGACAAAGTCCCTGCAGGTCTTCGGCTGAGGCAGATGGAGGGTTCCCGCCCAGGCAGGGGTCGGGTGTGGGCTGGGGCCCAAAGTGCCCCACTCAGGGGTGACTGACTTCTGGGGGTGAGCTGGGTGTGCTGGAGGGCCTGGGGGCTCAACCTGGCTGGGCCCCCACCTGAGGCGTTGCTGGCCCCTGGGCGGCCTTGCCTGGCCTGCTGTGGGTGTGGGGGCCGCTCCCCGTTCTGAGCCTCCTGGGTTCTGGCATTGGAGGAGGTCAGTGGGAGGCCCACCCCCAGGACTGAGCCTAGAATCTGACCCTGGGCTGGTGGCAGTGCCCAGCTGGGGCTGGGGGTGGGGACAGCGGCATGTCAGCGTCCCCCAGTCCCGCTCTGAAGCCCAGGGCTGCAGCCGGTGTGCTGGGGTTCACTGGGCTGAGGTATCCACCCACAGCCTGACCCAGCCAGGCTCTCTCGGCTCCCCCTAGAACCGTACGGAACTCCCAGAACTTAATGCCATGGAAACCCCTGGGACCCCCATGACCCCGGTCCCTTCTGTGGCCTCCCTGACATCGGTGACACCCGTGACCCCAGCAACAAGCACCTCTGAGGCCGTGGTGGAGCGACCCCGTGGTGAGGGGCTTGTCCCCACTCCCAGGGTGGCTTCCTCAAGCAACACCGAGGGCCGAGGTGGGTCGGGGGCTTTCAGGGAGTGGGGGTTCAAGGGGGTCGGGGTGCCAGGCATGGGATCCCCTGACCCTGCCCCCCTGCAGTGCTCACAGAGGACGGGCGGCCGTGCAGCTTCCCCTTTCGCTTTGGTGGCCGCATGCACCAGGCCTGCACCTCCGAGGGGAGCGCCTACAGGAAGTGGTGGGTCCTTGGCTGGGGGGGAGTCATCGAGCACAAATCACTGGCTCCACCCCAGCCCCCCAGGCCCCCAGCGCCCACCCCGGCCCCCAGCCCCCCAGCCCCACGCCCACCCGAGCCTCCCAGGCCCCCAGCCCCCCGGCCGCACGCCCCTCATCCATCCTGGAGCCCCTCCTTCACCCCAGCTTCCACCTCCTCCAGTGGGGAGCCTGGCTAGCACACAGTGGTCCTCAAAACACGTGCGGAGTGAATGAGTGAGGGAGAGGGCGGATGAGTGGATGGGAGGGCTGTTGCCCACCCAGGCTGGGGCCAGGACCCTCGTCAGCACAGGCATCACCCCAGGTGCGCCACGACTCACAACTACGACCGGGACCGGGCCTGGGGCTACTGCGCCCCCACGGCCACCACGCCTCCAGGGATCCCAGGTGGGTGCCACTGCTGAGGCCACCAGGCCTCCGGGGGTCCCAGGTGGGTGCCACTGTGCTGAGGCCACCAGGCCTCCAGGGTCATGGGTGGGTGCCCAGGGATGCAGGGCGGCCTGAGCCTCGCCAAGAGGACTGGGCCTGGGGTTCCCCCATCGGCTATCTGGAGTGAGCTGGGGGGTTGGGGCCAGGTTAAAGGACTGAGCGAGTGGGGCGGAGTGGAGGGTAATGCTGACCTGGGTGGGGGTGTGGTGAGCAGGGGCCTGCTTGGAGTGGAGCGGAGGCTCTAGGGTGAAGCCCCCTGCAGGTCTGGGGGTGGGTGGGGGGCAGAGGTGTGGAGGGACGTGGGGGATGCTCTGCTCCACTGACCAGCTGCTGGGCCATTGCTGGGCTGCAGCGCCCCCTGGTGATCAGGCCAGCCCCTGCAGCCACGCAGGCCGAACAGTGGACAGGGGCCCAGGATGGGTGCGCTGGCCAGAGAGCGGGGCCCAGTGGGGTCTGTGGTGTGGTGGGGGTCTTGCTCACTCAGGGGTCTCCAGTGAGGTGGCTAGAATTGTTTGCGAGGAGGCTGTGCCGCCTGACCATGTGTGGGTAGCCGGCTTCCCAGTCTTGGTTGCAGACCCTGGGCCTGAGTGCCTGGTGGGGGCACTGGGAGGAAGGGCCAAGGCGCCCCCAGCAAGCATGATGGCGGGCCTGCACCCTCCCAGGAGACCCACACCCCAAAGAATCCAGAAGCTGAATGCCTGGGGTATCAGACCCTGGGGCTGACATGTAGGGGCCAGGGCCGGCCCAGCCCCTTACAGCCCTCCCGGTGCCCCCAGGCACGCTGGACCCCTGCGCCTCTGGCCCCTGCCTCAATGGGGGCTCCTGCTCCAGTGCCCAGAACCCCACGTCCTACCTCTGCTCCTGCCCCGTGGCCTTCACGGGCAAGGACTGTGGCCAGGGTGAGTGTCGGGTGGCTGGGTGACGAGGGGAGGGCAGCCTGCAAGCTGTGGGCAGGCGCCTGCCCAGTGCTGTGTCACGGGACCTGTGGGGTGAGCAGGGGCCCGTGGGGTGCGGGGGCGGGTGGCCGGCTCACTGTGCGTCTCCCAGAGAAGTGCTTTGACGAGACGCGCTATGAGTACCTGGAGGCAGGCGAGCGCTGGGCCCGCGTTCACCAAGGCCGGGTGGAGCAGTGTGGCTGCATGGGGGGCCGTGCCCAGTGCAAGGATACTCAGCACACAGGTACGCCGCGGCCGGGGCCGGGGGGGCCGAGTGTGGTCACCCCATTCTCCAAAGTCCAAACAGGTTCAGGGGGGAGGGACTGGCCCAAAGTCACCCAGCAACTCAGCCTGCTGGGGCGGCCCCGGACCTGAGATCCCCCACCCGCGGCTCCCCCCAGCTTGCCTGAGCAACCCTTGCCTGAACGGGGGCACCTGCCACCTGATCGTGGCCACCGGGACCACGGTCTGCGCCTGCCCCCCGGGGCACGCTGGCCGGCTCTGCAACATCGGTGAGTGGCCGGCGCCCACTCCGGCGCCAAGCCCTGGGGACGGGTGTGGAGGACGCGGGCAGCGGCCAGGCCTCACGGCCCCCCACGCCGCCCCCAGTACCCGCCCAGCGCTGCTTCGTGGGTAACGGCACGCAGTACCGTGGCGTGGCCAGCATGGCGGCCTCGGGCCTCGCCTGCCTGGCCTGGAACTCCGACCTGCTCTACCAGGAGCTGCACGTGGATTCCGTGGGTGCTGCTGCGCTGCTCGGCCTGGGCCCCCACGCCTACTGCCGGTCAGCACCCAGGGACAGGGCCCTCCTCCAGCCAGCCTCTGGGGCTCCCTCAGCTCCCACCTGGGGCTCAGACCAGTTGGGACAGGCCCACAGCCTCTGCAGGGGCTGGGCGCGGAATTGGACCAGTGGACCCAGGCGGCCGAATGAGCAAAGGCTGCTCCTCCTGGTCCTGGGACCCCTGCACTCTGGCCCACCCCTCCTGCTGGGTGTCCAGCTCCTCCTCCCCCACCGCCTCCCACCTTGCCTTGTCTGAGGGGCCGTGACCCCCTCCCGCCTCTGTGCGCTCCAGGAACCCAGACAACGATGAGAAGCCATGGTGCTACGTGGTGAAGGACCACACGCTCTCCTGGGAGTACTGCCGCCTGGCGGCCTGCGGTGCGCGAGGCGGGCGGGGGCGGGGACGCGGGCGGGGCGGAGGGGCGGGCGGGGCGCAGAGGAGGGGCGGGGCGGGGCAATTCCCCTGATTGTGTCTCTCTCACCCCTCGGAGCCCACACAAGCGTTCACCGTCGTCTTCCCTACCCCAATCCACCCCTGGCCTCCTCGTTTTCCTGGAGGACCACTGTCGCATCTGAGAGGGAAACCGAGGCTCACTGGTGCCAGTGGGTGGGCACCGGGGACCGAACGGGTGAAGTGGCCCGTCAAGGATCCCTGGATCCCACTCCCTGTGATGCCCCTGTCCAGGACAGCCCCCCTGGAGGGGGAAGTGCAGGCCCGGGGGAGAGGGTGATGGGAGGTAGGGGAGGCCCTGAGGGCTCCACCTGGGCCTCTGGCCGTCGGGGGCTGGCAGGAGTCCCAGGCAAAGCCCTGTGATGTGGGCAGTGTTCTCCTATCCTACAGATGGGGAAACTGAGGCTCAGGGAGTAAGTCAGTGCCCAGGATGGCAGAGCTGGGCCTAAAACCTGGACCCAGGATTGCCAAGGGTTGGGCAGAGGGAGGGAGGCAGGGGACCCCCGAGGGACCCGCGGATGGTGGGCAGCGAGACCCTCTTTGGCTGCTTCTGCATCTGGGGATCGGGTATGCAGCAGAGGCCTGGCTGTGGGTGTGTGGGTGTGACCCAGGACCTCTGCTCCCAGGGTCCCTGGCCAGAAATCAGCCCCCTCTCACCCCCGGAGTCCTGGTGACCCTGCCTGAGCTAGCGATGAGCGGGCGCCGGACCTGCGGCAGGAGGCACAAGAAAAGGACCTTCTTGAGGCCTCGCATCATCGGGGGCTCAGCCTCCCTGCCCGGCTCCCACCCCTGGCTGGCCGCCCTCTACATCGGGGACAGCTTCTGTGCTGGCAGCCTCATCCACACCTGCTGGGTGGTGTCTGCCGCCCACTGCTTCTCCAACAGGTGAGCCAGCTCTGGCCCTGCCCCAGAGCTTGCCCCCAAGAAGGTGCTTGGTCCACTCATCTGTCTTTCCATCTCTCACACCCACATGCCTGTCCCCACCACCCACATCACAACACGTCCACCTGGCCTGCCAACCACCATCCACTCGACATCCATCCACTCTCCATCCGCCCACCCATCTACCATGGGGCCATCCACCTGACCACATCCACCCACCGCATTCATCCACCCACCCCAGCCCACTTAGCCACTCATCTATCCATGGGGCCGTCCATCTGCCCATGTCCACCCACCCATCCACCCACTCCACCCCCTCCCCCCACTCCACCCCCATCTATGCACCCCTCTTCACCCAACCATCCATCTACTACACACACAACTACCCTAACACCCATCCATCCACCCCCATCTACACACCCACCCATCCATCTACCCCATCCAACCACTCCCGTACCACACCTCCGCCCACCCATCCATCTACCCCATCCAACCACCCCCATACCACACCTCCACCCACCCACACATCTACCCCATCCAACCACCCCCATACCACACCTCTACCTACACACCCACCCCACCCCTACGTTCCCACCGTCCATCCACTCACCTATCTGCCTGTCCTCACGTGTTCCCACTTAACCACTCACCACGTGCCCCCCGCATTGCCCACCCACCTGTGTGACCCCTCATCTTCTGGTCCTTCTGTGTTCGCTGGTCTCCCCCTTTGTGGTAGCTTAGCCCTGTGCTGGACATGGAGGCTACAGAGACCCCATCTCTGCCTCTGGGGACCCATGGTGCCCAGGAGGAGGCTGCAGGGTGCCCAGGCAGAGGGCAGGAGGAGACCCCACCCTCCACCCCTACCCCGCAGCCCAGGGCATTGGGCCTTCCTCCAGGCAGGGATGGGGAGCTCAGGGCCTGGCTGGTGGACCCTGACCAGGGTGTCCTTCTGGCACCACCCTAGCTGGGCACCAGGGGGCACAGTGACAACACTCACAGCCTGGAGGAGTGTCAGAGGACTAGAAGGTGGGGGGAGTGTCAGAGGACTGGGCCTGGAGGGGGAAGGTTAGGGTGTTTGCCCCTGTGGAAGGCAGGCTTGGCATTGCCAGCTAAGGGGGGCCGTCTGGGAGTGAGGCCCACCATGCACACCCCCAGGAGGTCCAGAGACCCCAAGACTGACCTCTGCAGAAGTAAGCCAAGGCCACTCCTCTGCAACCCCCAGGGGGTCCGACTGGAGGGGGCGGGGTCCGATGGGAGGGGGCGGGGTCTGGTGGGAGGGGCGGGGTCTGGTGGGAGGGGCGGGGCCTGACAGGCCTCCTGGAGAGGCTAGGAGACTGCTGCTGGCTCCAGGAAGGACCGTCCACCTTCTTCTATACGATGGGACCACCAGGTCCTCCCGTGTGGATTGGGACAACGAGGGGAGCAGGCATCCCTGCAGGGTGGCCGACCCCCCACCTCACCCCTGCCCATCCCCACCCCAGGGCCACCCTCAGGCTCAGCCTGGTGTCGGGGGAGCAGGCGGTGAAGGTGGGTGGGCAGGCAGGGGTGGGACCTCTCAGGCCGGGATGCTGCCTTGCTGGGTATCAGAAGGGTTTCTCCCTAAGCGGGAGACAGATGGCAGCTACTTCTGGCTGAAGCACCCAATTCCCCTTGAGCCCCATGAGGCCTGGGTGTTCCGTGTCCATCCCGAGAGACCCCCCGGCTCTGGTTTCCACTCGGGCTACCAGCCATGCCCGGGGACCAGGGCGGGCCGGGGACGTGGCACCAAGCGCCATTGAGCGCCGGCACGGGGCTGCCGCGGCCCAGCAGCAGGACCCCCGAGCCCCTTTTCCAAAAGGGGCCTGAGACCTTGAGGGTCAGTGGCCGAGGCCCCACGGCGGCCTGGAGATTGCATCAGGACACAGGCCGGGGGAAAACCGAGGCCCAGAGCAGGTCTGTGCCTAGTAGGGGAGGGGCTGTATCTGGGGTCCACACTGGCCAGACCAGAGCTGGAGCAGGGCAGCCGCCCCGGGGCCCACCTCTGCATGGACCCTCCCTGTGCCGATAGGAAGGCCTCACGCTGTCACTGGAAATCGTGCTAGTCCGGAGCCCCTAGCGCCTGCGTCCAGCCCTCAGGTGCGGCCGTGGCCCACCGACGCCCCTCCCTTCCCGCTCAGGCCTCTCCCAGAACTGCAGGCCCGTGGGGTCCATCGAGGCCGGGGCCTGCAGAGGCGGGTAGGGGAAGCAGCCTCAGTGTGAGAAGGGCGGCCGGGGTCCGAGCTGCCGCCAGCCCCCCCTTCCAGCCCCCCCAGGGAGAGTGTCTTGGTGGTGCTGGGCCAGCACTTCTTCAACCTCACGACGGACGTGACGCAGAAGTTTGGCATCGAGAAGTACATCCTGTATCCCCGGTACTCTGTGTTCAACCCCAACAACCACGACCTGGGTGCGCGTGGGCCCTGCGGGGGCGCTGAGGGGCTCGAGACACGGCGGGGACGGCAGGTGGTAGACACCGTCAGGGCTGGCGAGTTCTCAGCCATGGGAGGAGGGACAGAGGAGGTTGGGTCCTGGGGCACGGCAGGCCAGGGGGCCGGGGTGGGCAGAGACAGCCCTGGGCCAGCTCTCCCTGCCCCCACAGGGTCTCCCAGGCCAGGGCCCCTATGCCCAGGGGCTGCCGTCCTGTGTGACCCCCTTGGGCCCCCTCTATCCATCATGGACCCCCAACAGCCTTCCCCCTCAACTACCTTCCCACGCCTGAGCTGACCTCTGACCTCTCTCCTGCCCAGTCCTGGTCCGGCTGAAGAAGAAGGGGGACCGCTGTGCTGTCCGCTCCCAGTTTGTCCAGCCCATCTGCCTGCCAGAGCCTGGCAGCCCCTTCCCTGCCGGACACAAGTGCCAGATCGCGGGCTGGGGCCACATGGGCGAGGGTGAGTGGGGGCAGGAGTTGGGGGTGAGTGGCGAGTCGGGATGAGTGGAGGCCTCTCCCACCCCTGAACACGCCATGTCCCGCAGACCTGAGTGGCTACTCCAGCTCTCTGCGGGAGGCCCTGGTTCCACTCATCGCTGACCATAAGTGCAGCAGCCCCGAAGTGTACGGCGCCGATATCAGTCCCAACATGCTCTGCGCTGGCTACTTCGACTGTAAGGCTGATGCCTGCCAGGTAAACCAGACCAGGCCCAGCCTGGACAAGGCCACCCCTAGACACAAGTTTCTCAGAAGAATCCCAGGGAGCACAGAGCTGGAAGGGATCCCGGCCCTGGAGGGCCCGCCGGGGACCCCAGGACAGAGAGCACCCCTCAGGCTCAGCAACACTACCCCAGGATGGCACTCACTGTCTCTGGAGGCCAACTGGGCCACAGCAGGGAGAGGGAAACCCCTTCCTCGCACAGATGGGGAAACTGAAGCTCAGAGAGGGTCTGGGATCACACAGCTGGGAAAAATCCCAACTGTCCGACCCAGGGGCACGGCTATCCACGTGACACCGGGCACCAAGGGCCAAACTACTTTTTACTGTCAGTTCTCCCAGGTGGGCTCAGTCCATCCATCTGTGCATCCATCCACTCAACCATCCATCCATCCATCCACCATTCATCCATCCATCCATCCATCGGTTTATCCATCTATCATCATCCATCCGTCCCTCTATCATCTTTCCATACTTCCTTCCATCCTTGCATCCATCCATCATCTACCCATCCATCCATCTACCCATCTACCCATCCTTCTTCCATCCATCCATGCATGCATCCATCTGTCCCTGCATCCATCCATCTTCCCTTCCATCCATCCATCCATCCATCCCACATACATACACATGTCTATCCACCACAGTCGTTAGATGCAGTCGAGCCGGTTCCAACTCATAGCAACCCTGTGTACAACAGAACGAAACACTGCCTGGTCCTGGGCCACCCTCACAGTCCTTGTTATGTTTGAACCCATTGTCGCAACCACTGTGTCAATCCATCTCATCGAGGGTTTTCTTTTTCACTGATCCTCAGCTTTACCAAGCATGATGTCTTTCTCCAGGGACTGGTCCCTCCTGATAACATATCCAAAGTATGTGAGACAAAGTTTCACAATCCTTGCTTCCAAGGAGGAATACTTTGGCTGTATTTCTTCCAAGATGGAATTGTTCTTTCTTCTGGCAGTCCATGGTATATTCGGTATTCTTCAACACCACCATAATTCAAAGGAATCGATTCTTCTTCCGTCTTCCTTATTCATTGTTCAGCTTTCACATGAATACTAGGTGATTGAAGATATCATAGCTTGGGTCAGGTGCACCTTAGTCCTCAGAGTGACATGTTTGCTTTTTAACACTTTAAACAGGTCTTGTGCAGTAGATTTGCCAAATGTGATATGTCATTTGATTTCCTGGCTGCTGCTTCCATGAGCATTGATTGTGGATCCAAGTAAAATGAAGTCCTTGGCAACTTCAATCTTTTCTCCATTTATCGTGATGTTGCTTATTGGTCCGGTTGTGAAGATTTTTGTTTTCTTTATGTTGAGGTGTCATCCATACTGAGGCTGTGGTCTTTGATCTTCATCAGTAAGTGCTTCAAGTCCTCTTCACTTTCAGCAAGGAAGGTTGTATCATCTTCATACCACAGGTTGTTAATGAGTCTTCCTCCAATCCTGATGTCACATGCTTCCTTATATAGTCCAGCTTCTCAGAGTGTTTGCTCAGTATACAGATTGAATAAGTATGGTGAAAGGATACAGCCCTGATGCACACCTTTCCTGACTTCAAACCACGCAGCATCCCCTTGTTCTGTTGGAACATCTGCCTCTTGATCTATGTACAGGTTCCTCGTGAGCCAATAAAGTGTTGTGGAATTCCCTTTCTTCAGAATGTGATGCATAATTTGTTATGATCCACACAGTCAAATGCCTTTGCATAGTTAATAAAACACAAGTAAACATTCTTCTGGTATTCTCTGCTTTCAGCCAAGATCCATCTGACATCAGCAATGATATTCCTTGTTCTATGTCCTCTTCTGAATCTAGCTTGAATTTCTGGCAGTTCTTTGTCGATATACTGCTGCAGTTGCTTTTGAATGATTTTCAGCAAAATTTTGCTTTCTTTGGAATGGGCACAAATATGGATCTTCTACAGTCGGTTGGCCCGGTAGCTGTCTTCTGAATTTCTTGGCACAGACGAGTGAGTGCCTCCAGCGCTGCATTCGTTTGTTGAAGCATCTCAGTTGATGTTCTGTCAATTCCTGGAGCCTTTTTTTTTTTTGCCAGTGCCTTCAGGGCAGCTTGGACTTCGTCCTTCGATACTGTCGGTTCTTGATCATAGGTTACCTCCCGAAATAGTTGAATGTCTACCAATTCTTCTGTGACTCTGTGTATTCCTTCCATCTGCTTATGAATATTTTCCCCATAGAATCCTTCACAGTTGCAACTCGAGGCTTGAATTTTTTCTTCAGTTCTTTCAGCTTGAGAAATGCTGAGAGTGTTCTTCCCTTTTGGTTTTCCATCTCCAGGTCTTTGCACATGTCATCATAATACTTTACGTTGTCTTCTTGAGCTGCCCTTTGAAATCTTCTGTTCCGCTCTTTTACTTCATCATTTCTTCCCTTAGCTTTAGCTACTCTACGTTAAAGAACAAGTTTCAGAGTCTCTTCTGACATCCATTTTAGTCTTTTTTTTTTCTTTTCTGTCTTTTGAATGACCGTTTGCTTTCTTCAAGCACGATGTCCATGATATCATTCCACAACTTGCCTAGTCTTTGGTCGGTAGTGTACAATGTGTCAAATCTATTCTTCAGGTGGTCTTCAAATTAAGGTGGGATATACTAAAAGTTGTATTTTAGCTCTGTGGACTTGTTTTAATTTTCTTCAGCTTCAACTTGAACTTGCATATGAGCAATTGATGGTCTGTTCCACAGTCGGCCCCTGGCCTTGTTCTGACTGATCATATATAGCTTCTCCATCATCTCTTTGCACAGAGGTAGTCTATTTGAATCCTGTGTATTCTGTCTGGCAAGGTCCACATGTATAGCTGCTGTTTATGTTGCTGAAAAAAGGTGTTTGCAATGAAGAAGTCATTGGTCTTGCAAAATTCTATCATTCGATCTCCGGCATCATTTCTATCATCAAGGCTATATCTTCCAACTACCAATCCATCTTCTTAGTTTCCAGCTTTTGCATTCCAATCACCAGTAATTATCAATGCATCTTGATTGCATGTTCAATCAATTTCAGACTGCAGAAGGTGGTAAAAGTCTTCAGTTTGCTCATCTTTGGCATTAGTGGTTGTTGCATAAGTTTGAATAACGGTCATATTAACTGGTCTTCCTTGTGAGCCGATGGATATTAGCCCATCACTGACAGTGCTGTACTTCAGGATATACCTTGAGATCTTCTTTTTGATGATGAATGCAATGCCATTCTTCTTCAAGCTGTCATTCCCAGCATAGTAGACCATATGATTGTCTGACTGAAAATGGCCAATACCAGCCCATTTCAGCTCACTAATGCCCAGGATATAAATCTTTATGCGTTCCATTACGTTTTTGAAGACTTCCAATTTTCCTACATTCATACTTTGTACATTCCACGTTCCAATTACTAACGGATGTTTGCAGCTGTTTCTTCTCATTTTGAGTCCTGCCACATCAGCAGTAGCTAACCTTTATCAAGGGCTTACTGTGTCTGGCCTATGTGTCCAACGCTCCACAGGCGTGATCTTGTTTAGGCAGCACATCAAGCCCATTTTACAAATGGGGAAACTGAGGCTCAGAAAGAGGCCTGGAGTCACACAGCTGGGAAAAATCCCAATTGTCCAATCAGGGGCGGGGCTGTCTATGTGACACCAGGTACCAATGGTCAAACCACTCTTCACCCTTAGTTCTCCCTGGTGGGCTCAGTAAGTCCATCTGTTCATCTGTCCACCCTCCATCTATCCAGCCATCAATCATCCACCCACTTATCGTCCATTCATCCATCCATCCATCCACCCACTCACCCATCCATCCATCCACCTACCCACCTATCCATCCATCTGTCCTTCTATCCTTCCATCCATCCATCCATCCATCCATTTAGCCTTCCTTTCATTATCCATCTCTCCACCATCCATCCATCCATCCATCTATCCCACATGCATACGTACATACATGCATCCATCCACCATCCATCCATCCATCCATCCCACATATATACATACATATATCTATCCACCATCCATCCATCCATCCTTCTATCCTTCCATCTATCCATCCATTCTTCCTTTCTTTCATTATCCATCTATCCACCATCCATTCATCCATCCTTTATTCCTTCCTTTTGTTATCCATCTATCCACCATCCATCCATCCCACATATATACATACATCTATTCACCATAGTAGCTAAAATTTATCACGGGTTTACTGGGTCTGGCCTCTGTGTCCAGCCCTTCACAGGCATGATCTTGTTTAGGCTGAACACCAACCACATTTTACAGATGGGGAAACTGAGGTCTGAAGAGGTCAAATCATTCTCCCAAGGTCACACAGCTTAGAAGTGGCAGAGTAGGGCTTGGCACTGGACCACATGGCTCAGTGAGCATCCTCTGGGGAAATCAAGGATGGCTTCATGGAGGGGATGGCACTTGCATTTGTCCTGGGGCATACATAGAAGTTTGTCAGGTGGCGCGGAGGGCACCAGGAAACAGAGTGGCTGGATCATGGGGGGCACACTGGGGTGGGGCAGGGAGAGCCATGGGAGGCTTTAGGAAGGGAGTGGCATGGTTAGACCACCCTGTTCTGCCTCTCCCAGCAGCCTGGGAATGCGAGGACTTCCTGTCCAATGAGTTTTGGGGAAAGGGTTCAGCTCCCTTACTCAGAAGCACCTTTGTCATCTGTCCCCAAGCTCCTGGAAGTCAATATTAGAATTCCGGGGTGTCCAGGGTCAGAGGGGGCTTTTTGCCCCCCAGTGGGCATGTGTGGGGTTGAGGTGAGCAGGATGTGGGGTAGGAAGAGGATGATGAGGCTGTCCCTGGGATGTAGAGGGCTCTGAGCACCTGGCTCACATTCAGAGTGGCTCTGATGGCATCTCTGTCACAGGGGGACTCGGGGGGCCCCCTGGCCTGTGAGAAGAATGGTGTGGCTTACCTGTATGGCATCATCAGCTGGGGCGATGGCTGCGGGCGGCTCAACAAGCCGGGTGTCTACACCCGTGTGGCCAACTACGTGGACTGGATCAATGACCGCATATGGCCACCTAAGCGGCCTACGGCTCCCTCCTGAGACCCCCCCCGGGGCAGGCGGAGGGCATCCCGCCTCCTCACCCTTCCCTCCGTGCTGACAATAAAGACATCTCCAGCACCGTCCTGGCCCATACTGCCTGCCTGCTGCCCCACTGCCCTGCCCTCCCAGGCCATGGCCAGCCAGCTGACCTTCCTCAGTAGAGATGGGACCACAGCCCTGAAGGGAGAGTCTCCCCATGGCCCAGGCAGTGAGGGCCGGGCGGCTCAAGTCCCAGTCCCCAGAGCAGAGCTGTCTCCAGGCCTCATCCTTCCAGAAGCCACCCCTGCCTCAAGCCAACCAGGACAGGATGAAGGAGTCTCAGAGACCCAAAAGGGCTGAGAGCTCCAGACAGGGCAGCAGACGTGGCAAAGGTCCCTCCAGGGGTGCTGTCCCCATGACCAATGTTGTGGGGTACCCCTCCCAGCTGGCCCCAAGCAGGTGTGGGGCTATTGTCCAGGGAAGGGCATGGAGACCTAGTCCAGGCCCCAAGGCCATGGGTCTGAGCCAAGTAGCACATCGAATATTGAAAAAACAGAAAGATGGGTCATTGGAAACACTGTTGACCACCATTTTGCCACAAGATGGCAGCCTGCCTGCAGGTCTCCCTCGGCAGTGTTTTCCAGGAGAGAGAAAACTGCAGACTTTCTCTGAGAGAACCAGGGGACCAGAGAGGCCTCAAGGCCTGGGTGAGTCGGGGCGGTGGGTCACTGCTTGTCCTGAGCTCCTTGAAGCCACCCCTGCCTCCAGCCAACAAGGACAGAACGGTGAGAACTCTCCGATGCCCAGAAGGGCTGAGAGTTCCCAGCAGGGGCAGCACCTGAGGCAGCGGGAGGGCAGCTTACAACAGGGAGGAGGTAAGGCTAGAGGCCCCAGAGGGCAGACCAAACTGGGCCTGTGGCTGCAGTGAGGAGTTGGGCGTGTCCCCAGGGCACTAGAAGGCACTGATGGGGTTCAGCGGGGGGCAGATGTGACGACATTTGCATCAGGAAAAAAGGCCTTTGTGTGTGGGGTGGGGCAGAGAGGTGTCAAGGAGAGTGATGAAGGGGATGACATGGGCTAGGGCAGACAAAGGCCAGCCCGGCCGGGTGCCCATCGTCAGGTACCTCGGGGAGCTGCGAGCCAGAGGTGAGGGGGAAGCCACGGTTCCTGCCCTCTGGGAGCTGGCGATCTCAGGAGAGGGGTGCAAGGGGCAGATTCAAAGTGTCCAGACCCAAACCCACCCCCTATCTTCCCTGGGAATGGCTTCCCACCCCCCATCTTCCCTAGAATGGCTCCCCACCCCCATCTTCCCTAGGAATGGCTCCCCACCTCCATCTTCCCTAGAATGGCTCCCCAATCCCATCTTCCCAAGGAATGGCTCCCCACCCCCATCTTCCCTGGGAATGGCTCCCCTACCCCTGTGCAGCCCAGAAGCAGGGCTCTCCACCCGCAGGTCCTGCTTCCCCCCAGCCCCCTCTGCTCATGGCTCCACCACCCACACTCGATAAGGTCCTGCACACTCTCCAGCCTCACCTGCCAAGGTCAGCTCCTCACATGATGGGCGAGGGCCTTTCTCCAAGGGGTCTGATTGTGCAGCTTCCACGCCCCCAGAGCCTCCCCAGTCTCTGCACGGCCTGCCCCACCCTCCAGGTCTGTGGTCTGGTCACACTGGCCTCCCTTCTGTTCTTTTTCCTGCTGCCTAGAAGGTTCTCTCCCCATACCGCCTCCTCCCTCCCTCAAGCTTGGGATGCCCCACGGTGGCCTGTCCCTGCAGGCCCTCTCCGTCTCATACATGTCAAGGTCGGGACTGACGTTTATTTGCCCGTTATTGGTTGAGTTCTGCCCCCGACCCCATCCCACCTCTCCTGGAAGCTCCATGGGGACAGGGGCTACTTCCTTCCAGAGTGTACTCCTTGTGGCATCCTCATGGTTGGCCCAGGGCAGGCTCGCCCCCGGCCTGCTGGGCGAGGAGCATACACATATGCACAGAAGGTCCCAGCTTTGCAGACCTCCCAGCCCCGGTCCTGCTTCAGTTAGGATACATTCGGAAATGGAACTGTGTGGCTTAAACCAATACAGGCTTGTTCTCCTCACACAAGAAGTGCAGTGGTCACGTTTGTTGGCACTAGTTTTCCAGTTATATCTACTCCCTTTTGTCAGGAGAGCACACGTTTTCCAGGATCCTCTTCTCTAGCAGATGTCCACTTAGCTCTCATCTGCCACACCTCACAGCAAAGGAGGCTGGGAGGGCAGGAAGCAGGGTTGCCGTGACTGGCTTTGACTCCACAGTCTATTGCTTGGGGCTGGGCATTTGCTGCTGGGAGCAAAACCAGATTTCTGATACCAACAAGGAGAGGGAGACTAGTAGTAGGATGTGCTCATATGCTGTAGGTTGGACTCAGAGCCTTCGAGCCAACCGAAGCCCGCTGCCTGTGCCCCCATGTGGATTACAGCCCAGGGCAGTAACTGGGTACGGAGGCTGGTGTCAATGTCACAGGAGTGTGGAGGGTGCGGCAGCTCTTACTCCCCGAGTGTGGGGCATCAGAGAACTGCATCACTTCAATCCAACCATCGCCCACACCTGAGAGGAGCTCTCCCAGATATTGCCCCCCTCCATGGATGTTGGCCGTCTTCACATTATTTCTCGGCATCTATTGAGATGAGCACATGAATTTCCTCCTTGAATCTATTCATGAGATGCCTTGCGTTGATAACTCTTCGAATGTCAAGCCAACTTTGCATTCCTGGAGTGAACTGTGCTTAGTCACAGTGTGAGCCACGGGCCCCTCCAGGCTCATTTCTCATGTTCCCCACCTTATGCTCTGTCCCAGGAAGCTGTTCTGTATGCTCTGCCTCTATGGGCTTCTGTGCTTTTGGTTTTTGTTGGGCCATAGGGATGCCCCAGTAGGAGATCCCACCATGGGTTTGCCAGTTTGTGGTACTGTGGTGGCTTGTGTGTTGCTGTAATACTGGAAACTTTGCCACTAGTATTTCAAATACCAGTAGGGTCACACTTGGTTGACAGGTTTCAGTGGAGCTTCCAGACTAAGACAGACCAGGAAGAAGGACCTGGCAGCCTACCTCTGAAAAAATTACCCAGTGAGAACCTCATGAATAGCAACGGAACATTGTTTGATATAGTGCCGGAATATGAGTGCCTCAGGTTGGGAGGCACTCAAAAGACAACTGGAGAAGAGCTGTCGCCTGCTCAGAGTAGAGTCGACCTTAATGATATGGATGGAGTCAAGCTTTTGGGACTTTCTTTTGCTGATGTGGCACAACTAAAAAGGAGAAGAAACAGCTGTAAACATCCATTAATAATCGAAATGTGGAATGTACGAAGTATGAATCTAGGAAAATTGGAAGTCGTCAAAAGTAAAATGGAACACATAAAGATTGATATCCTAGGCATGAGTGAGATGAAATGGACTGGTATTGGCCATATTGAGTCAAACAATCACATGGTTGTCTATGCCGGGAATGACAAATTGAAGAGGAATGGCATCGTGTTCATCGTCAAAAAGAACATTGCAAGATCTATCCTGAAGTACAACACTGTCGATGATGGAATAATGTCCATATGCCTACAAGGAAGACCAGTTAATACAACCATTATTGAAATTTACACACCAGCCACTAATACCAAAGCTGAGAAAGTTGAAGTTTGCCAACTTCTGCAGTCTGAAATTGATTGAACATGCAATGAAGATGCATTGATAATTGCTGATGATTGGAATGCAAAAGTTGGAAACTAAGAAGAAGGATTGATAGGCAGATGACACAAACCTTGCTTGCTGAAAGGGAAGAGGACTTGAAACACTTACTGATGAAGATCAAAGACCACAGCCGTCAGTATGGATTACACCTCAACATAAAGAAAACAAAAATCCTCACAACTGGACCAATAAGCCACATCATGATAAACGGAGAAAATATTGAAATTGTAAAGAATTTAATGTTAAAATCAAAGATGTCACTTTAAGAACTAAGGAGCGCCTGACCGAAGCCTTGGTGTTTTCAATAGCCTCATATGCATGTAAAAGCTGGACAAGGAATAAAGAAGAGTGAGGAAGAACTGACACCTTTGAATTGTGGTGTTGGTGAAGATATCGAATATACACGGACTGCCAAAAGAATGAACAAATCTGTCTTGGAACAAGTACAATCAGAATGCTCATTAGAAGCAAGGATGATGAGACTTCGTCTCACATACTTTGGACATGTTATCAGGAGGGACCAGTCCCTGGAGGACATCATGCTTGGTAAAGTAGAGGGTCAGTCAAAAAGAGAAAGACCCTCAATGAGATGGACTGTCACAGTGGCTGCAACAGTGGGCTCAAGCATGGCAACAATTGTGAGGATGGTGCAAGATTGGGCAGTGTTTTGTTCTGTTGTACATGGGTTCTAAAAGAGTTGCAACCGACTCGACGGCACCTAACAACAACAAGTGGGAGATCAGAAGGAGGGAGGAGAGTGAATCTGAGGTATTTATTTTCCTGGCTCCCTCCTTTTGGAGTCGCCTCAGGTTGGCTGCATTCCTTCACTGAAGTCACTGATATTGTCAACATGTGCGTGACTTTCTCCTTCTAAAGTTCCAGTGACCACTCCCTCCCCTTGCCCTTCAAGCCTAGGAGTGTGCCTTAGACATCTAGTGCTGCCATAACAAATACCACAAGTGAATGGCTTTAACAAACAAGAAGTTTATTCTCTCACAGTCCAGGGGGGTGGAAGTCCGAATTCAGGCCCCCAGCTCCAGGAGAAGGCTTTCTCTCTGTTGGCCCTGGGGGAAGGTCCTTGTCATCAGTCTTCCCCCGGTCTAGGAGCTTCTCAGCGCAGGGACCGTGGGTCCAAAGGACTTGCTCTGCCCCGACACTACTTTCTTGGTGGTATGAGGTCTTCTGTCTCTCTGCTCACTTCTCTGTTTTATTTCTCAAAAGAGATTGACTCAAGATACAACCTAATCTGGTAGATTGAGTTCTGCCTCATTAACATGACTACCTCTAGTCCTGCCTCATTAACAT